TAACAACCCGATTATCATAAGGTTTGTCACAAAAGGCCAAATTTAAATGAAATCGGCACATAAAGCCCAATTTAAATAAGGAATATCGTAAATGGTCCATTTGCATCAAAATAACCGTTTTAACCCGAAATTTCCAAAAATGACATAAAATGGCCACATTTATCAAGAATGACTCTTTTGACCTAATAAAACCGATAATGACAATAAAGGCCCAATTATGTTAAATATGACATTTGCGGCCCAATATAACCGAAAATGACAATAATGGCCTATTTATGTTAAAAATGAAGTTTTTGGCCCAATATAGCTGAAAACGACAATGATGGCCTATTTATGTTAAAAATGACATTTTTGGCCCAATATAGCTGAAAATGACAATAATGGCCCATTTATGTTAAAAATGACATTTCTGGCCCAATATAGCTGAAAATGTCAATAATGGCCCATTTATGTTAAAAATAACATTTTTAGCCCAATAAACCGTGAGTTGTCAAATAAGGCCCATTTTTATGAAAAATGACACTTTTGGCCCATAAAGCCATTAGTATCCCATAAGAGCCCATTTTTATCCTTATTTGTCAAATATGGCCCCCTTTGTACACTTTCTTTAGTTTTCTAGTAACTTTTAACATGTTTTGATATTTTCCAACATGGTAGAAAGTTACATTAAGTGACTTGTTTACTACAGTATCAAAAAACTTGGAAGATATTTCGAGTTTAAGAGTATTTGACATGGTTTCATAACATATCACCCAATAGTTCAAGAAAATATATACACATGCATGCATAAATACTAAGATTAACACAAAAATAGCTTGTATTCTCCCCCCAAAAGATAATAAAACTCGAAAACAAGGCGTATGAAGCTCACCTTGGTGTTATATCGATTTTGAAGAGGAAGGAAAATGATTTTTGGCCTAGCTTGCTCCTTTGAAGAGATTTTCAAAGCTAAGAGAGTTCTAGGATCATAAACACAAATATAGAGTGGTTTTGAGGGAAGATCTTAGCATAAGATAGAGTTAAACAACTTGAATGTGAAGTAACTTACCAATCTTGTATGCTTGAAGACCTTCTTGAGCTAATACACACAATCTTCGAAAATTTGAAAGGAAGGATAAAGAAATTTCTTGTGTTCTTGAGAGGAAAGGAATTAAGTGAGTAAGTTTTGAAGTGAAGAGTGGAGGGAGGTGGGAGGTCTCGGCCAAGATAAAGAGGAGAAGAGGGGGAAAGATTTGGTGGTATTTGCATGTTGGTTTAACATCTCATGCTAAGAAGTATGGTGGTTAGTGCATGGATATCCTCTAAACAAAGGTGAGGTGTCAAACACAAGTTAATCCCTCATTTATCTTTTTTTTTTTAAATAAAAACCGAGAACTAGGAGAGGGAAAGAAAAAAAAAAGAATATTGGGCTTGGATTTTAAGTGTACTTGAGACTACACTGGCCCATTAGAGATTTTTTGGTTTTAAAAGCCCAACATAAATGATTTCCGGCCCAATTAGAGTCCATGAAGAGCATTGACCCATTTAAGTTTCCAATTAAATCCTTATGGCCCAATAAGGCCCAGTTGGAGGTTCACGATCCAAAACTATTTTGATGAAGAGTTTTTGGTCCAACTATGGCCCAAATAAAGATTTTTTTTCGATCCATGTGGGCCCACATACGAGTTTGTGGCCCAATAAGATTAAATAAATTGGTTTTCGGCCCATAGGAAACAAATTGAGAGGTCATCAGCCCAATAAGACCTAAATACTATTGCTTAATGAACTTAGGTCCAATAAGAGAGTCCAAGTCCATTAAGAGGTTTAAACCGGGAAGTTAGGATTAAAAACCCAAAATTGAGTGAATGCAGCGTATTGAATTAGGTTTAGAGCTTTCACGAGAAATTTTGACATGAATTGTCAATCTTTGAATGAACAAACTTGTATATTGATGAAATTTGGCTTATATCAAAATTAGGGTTACAAGGTTACACAAGAAGTTGTTTGCACATGGACAGAATTTTCTAGCCCTAAAATGGTAGTTGTTACAAAGTTTAACAGACCTATTACAAACGAGAAAATAAAAAACCAAATGAAAACTTTAAAAGGCAATTTTAGTAAATGGTATGATATGTATCGGGGTACTTCGTTGAGTGGGTTCTCCTAGAATTCTCAAACAGAATACATTGAAGTAGGGGAGGAAGTATGAGAACAATTAATTATTATACGTGTTGGTTTTACATTTGATTTATTGTTATATATATTTTTTGTACCATCAACTTTATTAAGTAATTTTTAGGTTTGTTTATAAACAGGAAAACCCTGACGTAGCTGCATTCAGGACCAAAAAAATTTCAAACTATAATCAGATGGTGATGTTATTTTTAGATGATAGAGCATCGGGAGCAAAACCGAAAACAACAAAAGAAAAAAATGCCTAGTTAAGCAAATCCACATAAATTAAAATAGAAAAAGTTGCTGATGTGGATGAACTAAGTGTAAATAATGAGGTAATTATGGATAAAGAATACAAAGATGATGATGAAGACATTCAAATAGTGTCAGGCTCGGATGTTTCACCCGATGATAGTTCAAAAGACAAGAAGCTAAAAAGTAAAAAAAGAAAACTCGAAAGAAAACTTCAAGATGAAGATGAAGTAGCAGCTGAACCTGAACCTTAAGCATAACCCGAAACTTTTGAACACACTATTGTGCAAACATTTAAAGAAATTAATCGTTGATGTTATGAGGGAATGGAATAAATCTCGTGACTATACTGGTGAGGAAATCGAGAAAGAATTAGAGTTGTTGGGGTTGGATGTCGATGAATTTGCAGATGCTTTTATATATTTGTCACGTAATCAAGCCGATGCTAGGACAATTTTTAGGTCTTCAATGAAAATGTGGAAGATATTTCTATGAAAGATGATGGATGGAGCTAAAAAGCGAGTCATATCTTGAAGTTTTATAATTTTTTTTTTGTTTTTATGGTAGTTTGCATTGGACTTCATTTGTAAAGTTGAAATTTTGATTTTTTTAGTTTTTATTTTGACTTGAGTTTATTCATTAGTTTGTTTGTTTAATTAGAAGTTTTTGATTGATTTTGATTCCCACTTTAGTTGATTCATATTGTTTATATGTTATAAACATAATGTGTAAATAGGGTATAATTGTAATCTTTTAATTTTCTTTTATTTTCCCTCCTAACTCGGGAACACATCAACTTAAAATTTTTCTTTCATTTCTTTCGAACTCGGGAACACGGAATAAATAAATTTTTCTTCCCCTCCCTTTCCTTTGGACAATATTTTCCTCCTTTTCCTTTAATAAATTTACACAAAAACTCAGGAACAAGGTGGCAGTGTCAACAATACTTTCTAAAGTCAAACTAATTTTATTTGACAATAAAGGTTAGAAAGCTAAAGCTCCTCCTGACGAATAAGGCTGCAGGTTTCTTTGGAAACCTTCTAATTGACAATAATAAGAAGATTAGAGCAAAGAGAGGGTCGATTTTTGTAGTTGGGTTTTGGTGGCGTGATTTTCTTAAGCCTATTGCCCCTATTTATTTATAGGAAGCTTAGTGGGTTTCTGATTTACGTGAAAATTGTTGGTGATTTTATATCATCAAATATTATTTAAGTGTAATAGGATTAAATTTGTTGATCAAAAGTGATCTTGTTGAATATTGAACAAGTTAGGATGGTGTAGGAGTGCATATTTGTTCAAGTTTTTCAAGATTTAAAGTACATTGCTATTTAGGGGCGAAGCCCCTAAACGAACGGGGGTCTGGGAGCGGGGTCCCAGAGGTGGCAGCCCCTGGCTGGGATCGAGCTTTAGAAAGTTGACCCTTTATTCCATGACATCCGTTTAATGACAGTTTGATAGTTTTATGACAGTTTGTAACTGTGTGTTGACAGTTTTCAGACAGGATTGATATATCTGTTTTTTGGTCAATATTCTGGTACATGTTGAAGAACATTTTCATATATATTCTCAAATTTCATTCTCTGAATTTCATCCAATTGAGTGCTCGATCTGTACCATCGAAATACTTCAATTTGATAGTGAATCACGATTTTCAGAGAATCCAAGCAATCTATTCATCCCTTTTTCTAACAAAAATGGAGAATCTAGTTGTTCTTTGCTATGGTCGGGTGACGGTGGAGTTACTTTTGGTAAAGTAGATTCATCTTCAGATTAGTTCAATAAGGACCGCCTTGCTGAATGATGATCACAGGGTGGTAGAGAAGGAGATGAAGTTAATTTGTTTGTTGTTTATGAAGTTTTGCCTGTTTCATTAGTTTCCTCACAATCTGTTTTTATCTCTGGATCAAACTCCAACAGAGCGGAATACTTGTACGTAAAGATCTTGACATAAAATGGTTAGTAATACAATGTCCTCAACAACAGAGCGGAATACCCGTCATCTTTCATTTAAGAATGCCACTCCTTACCTTAGCTCTAAAACCATTTAGTGGTTAATTTTAATATATTACTAAATAATCATATACAATTTGGAAAAATGATTTTTTATGACAATTTATGGTAACTTCAAGTTCAATAAACTATTTGCCTTTTTTTGGTTATCTTTTTGAACATAAAATTACAACGTCTGGAATAACGTATGGCTGTTCTAAAAGACAAGTAAAACATACATGATCCATGTTAGACTTCAAACAAAATATGTGTACGCATGGTACTTGTTGCTCTACCATGTTGGCCAGAAATATGGGCAAAGATATCCTCCCTTGAGATAAAGTTAATTTTAATATACACAGGGCCCAACCCAAGACAAGTTGAACGTGATATACGAACCACATGCAGATGATACAAAAATGTAGTGTCAAAACTGGATAAGTTTAATCCGATTTGACACCAGTCACACCACTGAATTTAAAGTCCCCCAAGATTGATCGAACCAATACATCGCTATTAAATGTTGGTTGATGCAATGGAGTCACTTCGTAATTGGGCATGACTATAAATAGATAAATTTAAAGGGGTCATACATCATAACTGATCATATCCATATATTTGATAGACCGATTTGTGAAAAGTGAAAACCATCTCCTAGATCTCATCAGTCTTATAGCACCCATTTGAGCTGCATGCATTAATAATGGAGACTGCATGTGGGGAGATCGGCAATGAGAGTTCTCCAAAACCTCATGTGGGTTTCCTCGCAAGTCCAAGAATGGGTCATATCACTCCCCTCTTCGAGCTCGCCCTCCGTCTTCTCACTCAACATAACTTTCAGGTCACTTTTCTGGTTATCACCACCGACTCCACCGCTGCTCAATACAACTACCTCAACGTTGTATTAAATCATTATTCTATTACCAAACGATTCAAATAAAATCGATATGTTTTATTTTTACAAGTATGGACTTCAATGTTTTTATTCTTTTAACTATTTATTACACATAATTAAATTCATGTACGTATAGCGATTGAAATTTGAAAGTATGAGACGGATGTATTTCCTAGGGTATACACAATTAATCTATTAAACTCATTTATAACTATTCTATTTTTAAACTATATTAAATTTTTTGAGTTACGAATTAAATTCTACAAAATTTAATAAAAACATATTTATATATATACTAATTCTAAACTACATTTTTAAACTAAATTTTTTGATTTGGCTGTTGGATTTTTTTTTTTTTGATACGTTTGTTTTGTTATATATTTTCGATACGTGTTATTCCCTGCTCCCACTCCCAGCTGTTGCCAATTAGATACGCACAACAAAAACTCCATCGCCTCAACTCACCGCCTCATGTTTTATTTCTTTGACTGCTTATCTTCTCAAACAACCCATTCTCTTTGAACGTATCCACATCCCTTCCATCTAAGATGGGAGCTTGCATTGACCCACTTAGATCTTTTATCAGTTTTGAGGTTTCAAGGATGCACGTATGTATGTGTTTTTTTGGTTTTTGATTTCTTCTTGTGTCTGTGTCAGATTGATTGTTCGAAGGAGGAGGAAGGGTGCTGCTTTTGCTAAACCAGAGAATGCCTGTCAACACCTAGGGTTCTTTTCCCTAGCCGCCATAGCTAGGTTTTATGAAGCTTTTTCTGTAAAACACGATCTAGTTCGCAACCAAGGTATGAATCTGTTATATCTATCATCTAGCATCACGCTTCGCTCATTTCAATCGAACACCAGGTCGGAGCTGTCGACATTGATGATGACTCCTTCTCCTTTTATGATTACTTCATCAAAATTCACTCGCCTGAAAAGGAAATCCCCTTGCCGGCTTCCACTTGCCCTTCTTCTTCAACACTACTAATATATCATGAACGAACTCAATCATCTTCACCAGGTCGATAATTCAATGGTTCAAATTTGAGTGAAGATTTTAGCAAGGTCGATCACCTGTTCCAATTTCCCATTGGCGTTGTGGTATGTTATTCATCTCTTTGCACAAAAATTATCCTAATTTCTCATTTATTTTTCAGTTGAATTTTTCCATGAATGACACGTCTCCATTCTTTTTTCTGTTTTTATGTGTTGTTATCCAGTTAATGAAAAAGATGTGTTGCTTGGAACCAAAATTATTTTGGTTTCTATTTTGGGATTTGATTCCCTCCGTGGGGGCAGATGGTGACGGTGGGGTGGCGTCCAACCCGAGCTTCAAATGCAATTACGCAAACTGCAGCTCTATAGCACTGATCCTATGATTCCGATTAACAATGAAGAACTTGAGGAAAGCGATTTGTATGTGTTTTATTTATTGATTCTAATTAACTGCAATCATAGGATGATGATTTCGATGGTGATTTTCCTGGAACCGACCACGCAAGAAGCGCATGGTATGATCAGTTACCAGAGTTACAGCCAGTTGCGTTTTATTTATTGATTTATTATCATGTAAATTTTCTTTCGTTTTATGTTCAATTTCTGTAACGTCATTGCAGGAACTATGTAATGTCCATAAAAATACCAATCAATTTAAACTTTTTAAAAACAACTCAATTTCGTTAAGTTATTACAAAAAGGTTTTCAATGTAATTATTATCAGAGTCTTCCTAGAACCATATCATAAAACATAAACATAAGGAGCGGTACGATCATGCCTTTGCCTTGCCACGGTCTCCTGAAGTACCTGAAACATTTAAACCACAACTGTAAGCCCGGAAGCTTAGTGAGATACCCCCAAAATACCAACCACATGTACCATACACATAACATGCCATATCATAACAGAACACAGAACAGCCATGCACTTTGGGTCTACTGTGTGACTGGTCCGCCGCACCGGACCTTCAGTCCACCTGGTCTACCTTCCGAGTCTAGCCATATCCATCGAGTCTGCAGTGTGGTTGGTCCGCCCGCACCGGGCCTTCATCCCACCTGGTCCACTCTCTAAGTCTATAGTATGACTGGTCCGCTCGCACCGGGCCTTCAGTCGGCCTGGTCCACTCTTCGAGCCTCGGCACGTCTGGTCCGCCCTCGTAGGGCCTACAGCCTATTCGGACCGCTCGTTGGGCCTTTGGGATAACCGGTCCGCTCTGGGTATGTTGGCCTACAGCACAAAGCAGGACTCGCCTCAACCCAACCCTAGTCCAACAACCATGTGCACATAAACATACAATCATATAACAATTCACATCCAAACAATCCGGTCAAGCAGATCACATAACATAACATCATCCTAACCAAGATACCGACCTAACCGTGTCTCTAACATATACCATCCTAACTACCAGGATGCAAACATAGCAAAGCAATAACATAACAACGATACCCGGATTACAATCCGATAAAGGGTCGGTCTTGGTGCCTTAGACCATGTCGATATAGTGAGGATAACTCACCTCGCAACTGCCAAAACTCTGAACTAAAGAAGCAGATTCCTGAATCACCGACTCACCGAAAATCTCGAACTATTCGAAGCAGCAAAACAATCATTAGTCCAAGCACAATATCCTTTCAAGGGTAAATTGACCATTTTACCCTTAACCCAAACTGTTCATGACCAAGGCCCAACACCAGAATATTAAGGGCCCAACACTAGGTAAGCTCTCAAGCCCACTAGCGGCCTAAAGACCAAAAGTCCGAAACAAAACCCAATATCAGCCCAATTTACTAAATTGGGTCCTCCTCACCAAACGAGCCTAGATCCAAGGTCCATAATAATTAGTGAGTCCAAAATACTCCATCCATAATGTCCAGTCACGACCCAAGCTCTAATAGACCAATAACAGCCCAATCTCTTAGGGCCCAAAATGAAAACCCAACAGAGGGAGTACGCTGGGCATACCCTCCTTGGTACGCTGGGCGTACAACGATGCTCACGGATTGGAATCGAGACACAGACCCACTACGCTGGGTGTACTCCCATTTACGCGGGGCGTAACTCCACTGAACTACAACTTCTCATAATATCTTAATGGCTTAAGCTCTTAAGCCTAAACTTTAGATCCATAGACCAAATATTCCTAGGATTCATAAAGTCTCAAACTTTATTACTTGGGACGTCCATAAAGCTCTTAATCCAAGGTCTTAATCCATTAAGACCTATCTATATCACATATGAGACAACCAAAGCCCTTGGGACCTCATTTTTCTTACTTAAGACCTCTCCTAAGGTCTAAAAGGACAGCTAATCTCAACCAACTTGAATCATGCATCAAGATGAGGTTTTGGGACAAGAATGATGTCAAAACTTCACAACACATAGATCTACACAATATGATTGTCAAGCCAGAGACTTTTTACCTCAAAAGGGCCTCAGAAGATGATGTCTTTCCAGATCTACAAGCTCCAACCACTCAACTCCTTCTTTGATAACTTCCTATTTCTTCTTCTAGACTCTCCTTTGCCAAAACAAGCTTTCCAAGGTCAAACACACCCAACAATGGAGGTGGAACGGCTATCTAGGGTTTCTGAGGATGAGAGAGTGTTTATGGAGGCTAGGGTGAGAACCATTATGTTCTTTATATAGTGGCTGGCCCTAAATTTAGGGTTTAAAGACTCTGGACGTACGCTGGGCGTACATCCAGTATGCTGGGCATACACCCCCACAGACCCACGCTCATTTACCCGATTACGTTGGGCGTAACCTAGCCTACGCTGGGCGTACCCAGCATGTCCCATTCTCATGCATGGCCTTCCTCATCAACTTTTCCCATTAAGGGCTATAAATGACAATATCTTCAACATGTCATAACTCCTTTATTCTAAGCCCATTTCCGACGAACTTTATATCCACGCGAAGGTGGCGAGAAGCCTTATACTTCTATCAACATACACCGGTCCAAAACCTTCACGAATAAAACCCACTACCCTTAAAGGACCAAAACACCCTTACTCTTGATCTCGGGGATCCATGAATCATTATTCTTAGAACGGGGCATTACAATTCTCTTCCACTTAAATTAGGCTTCGTCCTCGAAGCCTGCGGCAACACAACTTCCGAACAACCCATGCACTGCAGATTCCGATTACCCATCAACTCAGATTCTTGCAACCTTACTACTGCGTCTTCCATATCCTGGTCTCCAGGTCCTTGGCCTCTAGTCGAAATCCTTTATACCGCCCCAGCATCTGTCCAAACTACTCCCGAGTTTGTTAACTTGCTGTCTCACCTTCCTTTGCTCCAAATCTCCAATCTGGAGCCACTAACCTCCTCCTTTTCCAAGGGGGCTGAAAATATGACTGTGCATCTCTCAAAATTGCTACTACCTCGACGGGCAGCCAACCCGCAGGTGCTTCCGTATATCTGGTACAATCCAGTGCCTCCTACTAATGACTGAGGCACCACGGTCATCCATTTACTCCGCTTCCTCCCATAACGGAGGACCCATGCTCCTTCCGGAGCTACATACCTTTTCCTTTCCAAGAAATCCACCCGACAACTCTTACGCACCTGCGTGTTCCACTGAGCTAAACTCCACTCTACACTATCCATGTAGAGCAACTACTATTCTCGAACTTCACCTACTCTAATTCTGCCCGCAAGGATTCTCGGGTCCATGCACTGCCTTCCACTAACATGATCAATACTTGGGACCAGACCGTATCAATTACCATATCTTGGCGACATATTCTCTCATTCTCCTCATACTGATCCACTAACACATAAAGAGTCTTCAGCATGGCTGCACCCCCCCCCCCCAAGCCTTCATCCTATCTGGACCACTCTCGGAACCTTCAGCATGTCTGGACCACCCTCCTAGGCCTTCAGCCTGTCTGAACCGTTCTCCCGAGCCTTCGACCTGACTGGTACGCCTTCCGGCCTTCAGTTTTCCTGGTCTGCTCAACTATCATACATCAACTCGAACTCTCTTTCCCGAGAATCTCTCCCAAACGTACTGTTCTATCCCTCCAGGGGTTCCTAACTCTAACTCATTCCTATACTCTGATCTCGGCCTAATCCCAGGCCTCTCATTAACCAATCACATTTCCAGTAACCCCGGTCTGTACCCCGTCCCATCTGCCGGCCCCTTACTCATACCAGTCCACACTCTTGGCTGACTGAATACTGTTGAATCCCACACAATTAATCACTCTCAAACGCTTGTCGATCCTTTAGAGAATCTTACAACTCTCCCCCACTTAGAACACTGACCTCTAAATACCGGTGACTCATCCAGCCGAGAACAATCATCTCTATCCCATACCTTCCTTATCTATAAACTGCTTTCCTCTGAACGAGTAACCTTCACAAAACTGCTCTCCTGACATTATACATCTCTAATCCCAAAGGAGTACGACTTCCAGCTGAACACTTCTCACATCGCGAATGCTATACTCAACAACAAGACCACACAACCAACCCTGACCATCCAATTTTCCAAATTAGGCCCAATCCCATATGGGTCTTATTCTAAGCCAATATTCTCCTCTAATACGAATTGGATAATCTCAAACACCCGAGTTGACTCAACTCGTTGAGTTTTCCCTTCAACTCATCAAGTTCCCATGAATCATACAATCCTGAAATCGCGATCCAACTTGTCGATTTCATCCTTAACTCACAGAATCACGATATCCCGGGTCGACTCATCGAGTTTTCCTCCAACTCGCCGAGTTCGTCCTGTATAATAAAAATTGAGGCACTTCCAATCAACTCGTCGAGTTCCTTTATGAACTCGTCGAGTTCCTTTATGAACTCGTCGAGTTCTTCAGTTTGTTAATCTTCTTAATGCATTAAGTCCTGATTCTTCAAACCAATGCCCTATCTTCTGGATCTAAGCTGAAAATACGCCTAAAAGGGTAAAGTTTCCAACTTTACCCATTAAGGGCCTTTCCCAAAGCATAAAACTCAAACCCTAAGGCCTTGTTTGGTAGCCTCTTAATTGGAGAATTAAGAGGTAGTCTGTTAATTTTTAAGATCCATACTGTTTGGTAACATCTGAATTTATGGCTCTTAATTTATAAGATGCCTCTTAATTTTTCAGACTTGGTGACGTCTCTGAATTAATAAAAACAACTCCCATTCCTCTTTTTCCCCAGTACTCCACCCTTTTTTCTCTTCTCCTTCTTTCACAAATACCGACCCATCCTTCCCGGTACATCTCCAATCATCCGATTGTAACCATCCGTTATCCCATCCGACATAAGTTGGCCACTGTCGATGTTTGCATCGCCATCTCTGACGATAACGAACCCCCCCCCCCCCAAGCCGTCGTCGATCGGTTCTTTCTCTCTCATTTCAAGCTCTGCGCACAATCCACTCTTCACTTCTCTACATTATCTCTCTCTGGTCATTGTGGCCGTCTCCTGGACCCGCTCTGTTCTTCTCCGAGATAACGAGTTGCTGCATCCACCAACGACTTGGCTACCAAAAACCCTTGGAATTGCAGGTGATATATTCTCCTCTTTCCCCTAAAACTCGATAATACGAGTTGAATTTTTTTTGTATTTTTAGAATGTTTTGCTTCTAATAGATTTCGATTAGGTTTTAGGAGTTGATGTATGTATAAATTTTGATAAAACTGTTATTAGGAGCATCAATTTCAGTCTC